CCCCCCGTGGAACCCTAAAAACAGAAATATAGTTTCTCCCCCCCCCCCCCCGCCCCCAATGTAGTGTCTCTCTCTACGACCCCCACTTCTTCTCTCTCTCTCTCTCTCTCTGCCTACACAGTGTATTTGTGTGTTCCCTGTGGTTCTCACAGTAAACAGCGACTGTTTCCCCAAACAGCATTAACCGGTTGGGCTCTGTAGCGGAGACGTTATGTGTTTCCTGTGAGGTACGGACTGAATTCTTATATGCTGCATATTATTCAGAAGAAATTTGTATCCTTCAGTTGCCGGAAGGCTGGCTAGAAGTCAGTGTGCAGTCGGAAGGTCCCGCAACCGTCATCTCGACACAGGTTTCCTTGGTTTTCCTCTGCCTTCAAGCAAATGCTGAGATGGTTTCCAGACTCCATGTTGATGCTGATACTCATTTGACCCTCCCGATTTAAATTTATTAAAACTAAATCTCTTACTCTGAAGCCCCCCAAATTTCCTCTTCAAATTACGTAATTCTCAATCAAGAAGAGAAACAAAATTACGGTACCGGTGCCCATAATGATTCGCAAAACGTACTGTCTAACGTGAATCAACAATCTATCCCCCCCCCCCGAATACACAGGCTAGTGAGCACTACTCATCCCCATGTATAGTTTCCATGCTTGAAAGTGGCGTACTAGGTCCCTTTAATTTGGTACCTCCCGAAAATTTATGTTTCTCATTTAAAGATCATTTCAGTTCGTTACAGCAGCCTCTGGGAGCGGAGGGTTTGGTTTACATTCCCGGCAAAGGCAGGAAGGAAACTTTCTCTTCGTCACTCCGTCCACGCGAAATGGGTAGCACTCCCGAATCGTATTCAGTAGATTCTGGGTTGAAATCTCGGCCCCGGTCGTACTGATAAGTTTTTCGTTGTCGTCCTCTGTTCCTCCAGCAAAATGTTGGGATAGTACCTCCAAACATATCCGCCATCCCGTCTCACTGGGCGCCATGCAAACGGCGTCGTTAAGTAGCCCGACGAACATTCAACGCGACGGTCGGAGGAGCAATCTTTCAGGCGTCAAATGTTGCAACATCGGAAATACGAGTATGTAGCTTGCGCTGTTAAATAAAGACGTTGCGGTCATCTGGAATGTGACGCCGTGTAGTCTGACTTATAGGAATATACTGTCTCCGTCATCACGTTTTATACACATGAAGATGCAGACAGTATGATGGTACTTATCTATCAGACTACACGGCGTCACATACCAATCATAAATAACCTCCAGCTACAAAAATACTTTCCGTAACGTCACATGAATGACGTTACATCTACTCGGATGCGTTATTTTAGACCTCTGGTGGGCGGGGTATTTGCTCTGCCACGCGAGGTCACCGTGAACTATGGCGATTTTTGTACCAAGTGGCACTGTGGGAAACTTCACGGTGAGCGCCACTGATATGCAGGCGGCCTTGCAGCACAAACTGGGCTCTCAGTGCAGCGCGTTAGCGCCATGGAGCAGAGTCTTTCTTGAGAAGCTGACAGTGACTCACCATCTTCGAAGTTGATTAATATTTAAAGAAACAGTCGCTGTTTATTGTGAGAACCATACGGAACACACAAATACACTGTGTGGTCAGAATGCAGAGACTTTATGTATAAGAATTCAGTGCGTACCTCACAGGAAACACATCACGTCTCCGCTACAGACACCAACCGGTTAATGCCGTTTGGGGAAACAGTCGCTGTTTACTGTGAGAACCATACGGAACACATAAATACACTGTGTGGACAGAATGCAGAGACTTTATATATAAGAATTCAGTTCGTACCTCATAGGAAACACATCACGTTTCCGCTACAGAGCCCAACCGGTTAATGCTGGGAGTGAGAATCATACAGAACACATGTTGAATTCCTTGCCAATCTTGTCCTTGATTTGATCATTCTAATTATACTTAGTGAAGAGTACAAATTATAATGCTCCTCTTTATGCAGTTTTCTCCAACCTCCTGTCACTTCTTCTTCTTCACGTGCACCTACTCGTCCCCAGGGCCATATCCCCAGTCTATGTCGTTTCCTTGAAAGCAAGATATCCCGTGATAATCCCATATACGCACAACTGGAGACATTATCATGCCTTTGCATAATTATTAATAGATTCAGTTTTATCATTATTATCAGAATTATTTACAAAACTCGGTATCATATCTCTAAATCGTTATTGTAATTTGGAATTAATCTCTTAAACATGTGACGAAGTTCAAGTATGCCTCGGGACCACCACGGCAGACATGAAGCTCTGAGTTGGCTTCTGTAGCGTAAGATGACGTGGGTGCCGTCTCCAAGCTAGTAATCCTAAGCTTTACAGACAAAGTCACACAGGTATTATTTTCACTGATAACTCAATTCATGGCGAAGCGTCCTTCTTAATAAGCTAACAGTTGTTCAGCTAGCCACGTAATTCCCCGAAATGTCTGGTCTTCTGGGTTACAGCGGCTTCACAAGCTGACCCTCTTCAGTCATTGAAGTGAGAACATGAAATCTAACGAAGTAATTTCCTGCCCTTTACTTAACCCGGAGGTTCATTGCAGTGTTCGCAAGAGCCTCACACACAACAACGAGTACGTCGGTCCTTGCATTACCGTAAGAGGCGGAGCTTCCCCCAAGTAAAAACGGAATTTCGGAAGGGGTCTCGGATGCAGACGCTTTGTTCGGTACGATACACGAAATATTTCACACAAAACCTTTAAATATATTTAAAATACAGTGCAGAATTCATAAATGACTGATTTGTCAGTGAAATGAAGACATGAGAATATTTCGCATATTGGCCCTAAGTTGAATTGTGGTAATGATGTCCCCACCTCATCAGTTTGCACGCATGTCGTGTTTGTACATGCGACTGACTCGGGATGTGCACGCGTGTACACTTTCGGGTCCCAACAATAGGTTCGAATTCTCTGACAGCCTGGGCGCTCGGCTCACCGCACCCACAATTCTGTCATGAGATCGTAACATCCAATACTGAAAAAACAATTACAGTTTAAAAGTTCTAAATAAACACTTCTCACGAAAATCACGACAGGGAGACAACTGTTGGCAGATCCACTTATCGCCAGAATTAGTACTAGCACAACCCTGTCGGCATACTGTGTTATCATGTTTTCAGGCAACAGCAGCGCTTTATTATGTGGAGACGTAACTTACTACAAATAAAAAATAACGTTGGAGGTTTTCTTGGTTATCATCTTCAATGCTGAAAATGAAGACATGTTCTTCCGAAACGTCGGTAACCGCCTACAAGAGTAGACTGTATCACAACGCATAAGGCCACAATCTCATCTAACTACAACCAAGACCTCTGTAGGATTTTATAATTAGTAATTTTTATTACTTTCTGACTTTTCAACTGGACATTTTTTTTTCTAATTGGAAATGAACTCTGGACATAAAATTCAAATCCTGTTTCGTTACACAGAAGAAAGTGAAGAACTTTCGTTCATGTTTCTGTCGCTTGCTGTCTTATTTTCTAGTTCCTTTATTTGATTTACTTCTGGTTTGTAAATAACATTAAATTTAAAAATTAAACAAATTAACGTTCACAGCTTAAACCAACTACATTTTTTAAAAAACTGAACGACAATATAAAAACATCACTGTCGCATAAACAATAGAGACTGTTGACTGCATTTCTACACGACGTTGTTCGTTTTTTCAAGACAACAATGGAAACTTTTTGAATTTGGGAGTATGAGTAGAGGCTGAAATATAATAAAGGAAGCTTAATTCATATGAAAAACATGATTCTCTCAAAACGGAGTCGTCATGATCCTGTAACAGACGATGCAAATATTGTAATCACTTGTGTATTCGAATTTTTTTCCAGTAACAAAGATGTTTATAAGTACCATGATACAGACTTCAGGCATTTCCGCTTTTTTTAACAATCACATTTCCCGGGTTCGTTGTGTGAAGTTGATAGTCTTCGTTACACCACGTAATTTGCACAAATAATAAAATAAAACCCTAAGCAAAATGTTAAAGAAAATTAATTCCAACCGTACATATATCAACTTTTTAATTACTCACCTTCATAGACATGCTTGTATCAAGAGGGACACGATGTTTCTGTTACGTTCAGGTTTCAAACTGACAACACGATACCACAATTCTCATGATGTGACGTATATAATTTCTCACCTGTTACGTAACCGTGTGAAAATACTAGCGCTCCTACTTGCTCTACACCTGCTTTCTACTGACTGCAAATAGAACATTCACAGCTGTTTCGTCCTTCGCTGTCGGTCACTCGCTACGTTGAAGTATTGATAAAAATTATTGGACCTGAAACGAACGTCAAGACCACTTCGTCCACAGACTTCTTGCTACAGTGCTTCATGACCTTCATGAACCACAATACAGTTCTCTGCCATCTAGCGGTGAAGATAAATACCAGACATATCGATTATGATTCGATACCGGAAGGAAACCATAAATTCTCCTCTGTAAAGTTGGTAATTTGGTGGTTTCGTGGCTTTGTTACTGCGGTATTATTTGAGAAGAAAGGTAAATATATATGTTTGCATTTTTTTATGGGCATTGGCTTTTGAAAGAATAGAACTCTCAGTTTATTTTTTGTTGTCAGTTCCAGGTTTGCTATAATGGAAAATGACGCTGGTGAATCTGTCGATCTCTATCGGCCCAGAAAGTGGTAAGTTGCACGTGTTTGACCGCCTGCCAGTCCAGGCTAGTTTACGTATTAATTATTATTAACTGAAGGAATCGACAATGCACTACCGAAATGATTCATGTTCATGCTTACTTGGACACGTACAAACTCAAGTTATATGTGTACGTTTCGATAGGTTAACATTGAAGGTACACGTTTCTAAGTTACTGAAAACAGGGCTTTATGCTTCCTCTTGGTAGTGTGGCCTTATAGCTAGGTTACCATTTTGGGTTGTAGTCTTTACATTTAAATTTATTTTCACTTCATGGATCCAATCACCTCCCCATAGGCCTGGATATAAAACATGTCACACATTACAAATCCATAGTGACTACACATCATACGTCCTTGGTCCAATAAAATATATAATCAGGCCTCTCACGCAGACAGCACAAGTTGTCAAGACAACACACATAAGCAGTGGAAAAACCACTGCCAAATTCACACCTTGCCATTCCACACACACACTGGCCAGCCATATCATCAGTACACTTTCATTGTAACATTAAAGATTATAACAAACAAACACATCATACATACTGGCACACTTACAGCAAACAAGTCTCAACAATGTATAATACAAGCGCACAGACCATTTATTAACTCTTAACATTTGAGCCTCTTGCATGCTTGACAAATTCACCAACAAGTTACTTTGCAAATGATTTTGTAAAACAAACTTAAATTGATTTTTATCGTTTTTTAAAGCTGAGATATTTGACAGAATAGTGTTAATAATACACCCCTCTCTGATAGGATGATAAATGTGTTGTAGGTATGTGAAGGTGGTCATTCCTTCTCATACCAATGACATAGACAGAGTTATTGGTTTGAAACTTATCCAAATTAACAACAGATATCATCAGTGAGAGCAAATATACACACGGCATCGGCAGTATGTCAAGCTTTTTAAATTAATCTCTACATGTATGAGTTGGGCCCACTCCCATCATCATGTATAACACAGACCTTATGACTGTCTGATGTATTTCACCAATGAATGATAATATGCATAATATACAGCTTTAAGACTACTTAAATTTAATACATTGGATAATTTACGCATTAGAAAACCAACTGTGCTTAACTTGTGAGGCAAAAAACCAATATGCCCCTTGCAAGTTAGACGATTGTTCATCTGCAAACCGAGAAATTTTATTGTTTCTACTTCTGTCATCCTTTTATTAAGAGATAGTGTACTCAGAGGGTAGCTCATAGCTGCTGCTGGGGTGAATTTTATCATTTCTGTTTTATCCAGATTTAACACCAATTGATTATTTTTGAAACCATGAAAGCATATGATTGAAAGCAACATCCAATTTTGTTTTTAAATTATAGTAGTCTTTAGCCGTGCAAAGAATACTTGTGTCATCTGCAAACATGATAACTTCCGAAATGTTAGTTATTTCAAGGGGGAAATAGTTTATGTATATGGTCCCGACACCGATCCCTGAGGCACGCCACATCCAACAATTTCCCAGTCAGAATAATATTTGTTACTTATATAATTTAATTCCAGTCTTTGCCTCCTATATTGGAGGTAAAGATTTAAACCGTTGCAATAATACACCCTGCACTCCATAGTACTGCAGTTTCATTAATAGAAGGTCATGATTAACGCAGTCAAAGGCCTTGGCTATGTCACAAAATATACCAGTTATATACTCTTTTTCTATTCCAGGCTATAAGTATCACAGTGGTTAATTGAAACATTGCATCTTCGGTTGATGATCCTTTTTGGAATCCATACTGCCTTGAAAGTAATATGTTATGTTTTACGATATGATCATTGAGTCTATTAAAAATTGCTGTTTCAGAAACTTTTGCAAACCCAGGTACTATAGATATTGGCCTGTAGTTACTTATAACAGCCTTTTCCCCTTTGTATACTGGCTTAATAATTGCATATTTTAATCTTTCTGGATATAGACCCATGGTTAATGACTTATTAATTACATAAGTTAGAGGTTTACTGATTTGTTTGTTTGCACAGTTTTATAATTTTATTTACTTACACCATAATACCCTGAAGAGATTTTTTTTATTTTAATTTGCTAATTACACTAATTATTTCCTCTTTTGCAACTAAATTAAGATTCATATCTGGAACACCATTTGAGAAATGGGAATGCAAGTATGACATTGCAGTATAAATATTAGTTTTCTTAATATTAAGAATTTCTGTTATTGTTGTGAAATATTTATTAAAACTATGAGCTGCTGCTTCAGTATTTATTTTTTTATTATTATTTTGAAAAGTCTGTGGTAGACATTCTTTATTCTGATTGTTAGTCCCACCTGTTTCAGTGTTGATAAAGTCCCAGGTAGGTTTTCTTTTCAAGCTGATGTGATTAACTGATTATAATATTTCCTTTTAGCTCCTCTTGTTACTCTTCTTAATATCATGCAGTAGGATTTATAGTATGATTTGAACCAATAGTTGTAACTGTTTCGACAGAGAATGGACAAGGATTCCGTCCGTCTACGGGATGTATGTATACCAGCTGTTATCCAGCCATTATCCTTGAGTTTATTTGTTACATTTTGCTTTGGAAGGCATGACTCAAAGACAAGTAAATACTTGTATCACACACGCAGTCACAGGAGCAAGACACAACAAAAGCACAACAGACACACAATAGTGAAGGAGTGCTCCAACAGAGGAGGATGGGCGTGACTGGCGTAGTGAGGTGCGACGTAGCGATGAGGAATCCTGAACAATTTTAATATTTTTAACGTTTGACATTTGTCAGTGTATATGATAGATATATATTTTAGTTATTTTAATGTGAGGACAAGGCATGCAATGAACTAGTTTGGCGTGGATTGAGTAAGTACCTGAAGATGGCATTTTTATGCCGAAACATGTAGTGCGAGTGAGAGAAGGAGATAGATGAGTGTATGCACTGCAAGACAGTTTAAATAAATCATGGACTTAAATCAGTGCAACAGGATGCTAAAATATAACATAAGTAAATACTTATTTAAAAATGAGTTGAATGTTTCGTTTACAGCATTTAGTTTATATATATTTTCCCATTTTTCGTTAGATAGTTTATTAAGAAATTGAGCAATTTAGTTTTCATTTACTAATCTTCTTGTGATTCCCTGCACTTTTTTCTTCTCCAGGAAATTGATATTTTTAGTACGAGACACTGAGCTTTGTGGTCAGATAATCCATTACTAATAGAGATTACTTCATATGAATTTATCCTTGCCTTATCTATAAACATATCAGTAGCAGGGGTTTTGGTCACAGTTATTCTTGTTGGGAACTGTACTGAAATATATGAGTGCAACAGCACTAATAGTCGTGTTTTACGAGTTGACTCTTCTAAAAAATTTACATTAAAATCGCCACATAATATAAATTCAGTTTTTGCTTTATAAAGTAATTTGAGTGCTTTATCCGACTTATTTACAAAGTACTCAAAATCCCCACAAGGTGACATATACATATATACACAGTACAAATATGTTCGTAATCATTCTCTGTGTTGTGTAACAGCGAAGCATGAACCACCGTTATCTGTCAGGAGGGTTCACCTAGCAATCACACACACTTCATTAAACATTTACATTAGGTCTTTTGTGCAAGTAATGTTTGAATACATTTGTATTCTTATTCAGTTGCATCCGTGGCATTGTGGTTTGTACACATTATCAAATAATACACTCAGCAATAACAGAATTATCTGTGTGCAGAACATCTGAGGGTGCCTCATACCTTCGTGAGCAACATTATGGAAGAGATGTGCTGTGTGTAGTTACAGTTCACAAGCCCCAACTTTAAAATTTGCCTGGAGCATTAAGCCGCAAACTTAGGCTTTTTGTTGTGTTTTTGAAAAGAAATTTCTGTATGCCTCTTAAGGTTAGGGTTTGTGTTGTGTTTTTACATATAAACTCGTAAGGTTGGCAGTGCTACTGTGGGAGACAACTTGGCAATAAACTTTAAAGTCATTTTGCTCACCTAGTAATGTGTACGTACCTAATAATTGCGTATATGACGTGTTGACACTCTCTTCATTTCAACCTTGTACAGCTTCATGACATGTGAATATTTGTGCTGGGGTAAGTTCTTATGTTAACTGTGTTTTAGTTCGTGTGAAATTATATATTGATTTTTTTCTTTAAATTTATTTTTAAAAATTGTTTCAATGGTGTTGTGACTTTTGAACATGTCAGTGTGTTTGTAACATTTCATATTGGCATGTGAGTTAGGGTTGGTGGTTAGGTTGAGTGAAGGGGTAGGGAATGTGTTAGGGACTTAAATTCATAAAATATGAGACCCTTACGACTACATTCCTGGGCGAATTTGATTGTGTGTAAAACTAGTTAGTGATGGATTAAGTTATCAAGCAGGTTGACATAGCAGTAATGTTCTAGGCTTGTACTGGAAGTACTAGGTTTGAATCTTCACCAGGACACTTGCTACCCTGACAGATTTCGTGTGGTTTTCCCTTGTCCCTCCAGGCAGATGCTGGGATAGTGTGACCCTGCCTTTGAAATACTTTCTCAGGTCATCTGTCATCCTACTGTTTGACGCTGTGTAGTTTAGTTACCAACAGAAAAGGGATTAGGATTGGTTGAGTGGCTTTGTATAGAAGAAGCCATGGTCTAATTTTGGCTGACTAGTCTTGTAGAATGAATTGGGTTAAGGCTTATGTTATGCCTAGAGGGGGGGGGGTTAATGAAATGGTCCTGAATTATTCGGTTGCCAATTCTTACGATTAAAACGTTCGTTGCATCTGGCTGCCGTTGACTGCCTGGGATCAGTTCTGCCTTCACCTAGACTGGGATAGCCGTGGGTCATTCAGGGAAGGGGTGAAAATGTGGCGGAGCGAATCACAACTCTCTGTGTACATCCTACGCTAATTACACCGTCTATTTACAATCTTATTTACAGTAAAGTGAGGCCGACTTTGAGTTGGTTTACATAACATCGTTCCCTTACTCGTTCTTACTCTTATTCTAATTTCCCTCTCTGGGGTTATGCCGTGAGACTGCCGTTTCCCCCCATTGCCTGTCACTCGATACACAGTTTCTACCCAATTCTACCCAGATGCTCATAGGGCACACTGGAGACTGTACTTCAAGTTCACAACAACACAGAGTTTAAGTAACATGGCTAGTATGAGCAAAGAGACTTACTTGTAATAGACGCAGATAAGTATCGCCACCCACCATCTTGTAGCACCCATGTCGGACAAAGCCTCCGGCCGCCGGTCGAATATTATGTTTTGATTGATTCATTCAGTGATTTATACTATCAACTTGCTGACACTGCAACTGACAAAGGAGGGAAGTTACTCCTCCCTTTGTCCTAAATTTCTGGAGTGGTGAATTGCCATTGGCTAAACTCGACTCCTCGCGGGCAATCCGCGGAGCCTCCCTCTGTGCATTTTGTAATTTAGTGCCACCCCGTGGCCTACTGAGCAAACTTTCTGTTCATTCTATTACGAACTTCTGCGGACTAAGGCATTCCTTTGACCTCAATCTGCAATCTCTGTGTTGCCATCACTGGCCTAATTGCTGTAAAGCGCTTTTGCAATTCTCGTAACATTTAGGCAATGCTTTTGATTTCCAGTTTTGAAATTTGCGGCATAACAGCTTAAGTCCGGGCTTCTTTTTTTCAGCTCTTCAAGTAGCCGAATCATCCACGCGAAGGATCATGCTTCGATCCAGATCAATATTGCGGAAGTGGATCCACAAACAGGGCGAATGACAGAGGCCACAAAGATGTATGCAATATGTGGAGCCATAAGAAGGATGGTAAGCCATCGTATTTTGAAGCTGTAATAATTTTTCTTGTTCATTTGGAAGCAGCCAGTTTGTTTCGTCATGTCCGTCTGCAGGGCTCAGTGAATGTTGGTCCAGTTCGCTTTGTCAGAAAGTCTGCCTGCCAGACTTCTCTCCACAAGGCAAACCGTGCTGTCCCCATGCCAGCACAATTTCCCTGTACCAGCCTACTGACCATCACATTACATACCCGATATGCATGAAAAATAACACAAATTTTTCACTGAATTTTGAACAAAGGTGACTAAGCCTGTCATTGATCCTGATCTGAGTCATATGAATCCATTCCACACCCTGCCATCCTATTTATTTAAGATTCACACGTATTAGTGACTACAGATGGGGCTTAGATTGGTAATTGGATTTATTGACCACCTACAGGTCATAATTACAAAAAATTACTGCACTTGCTGATTTACACAATTTACAATCACTACACAATAATCTTCTCAATCTATTTCCACTAGTCTTCACTATCCACTTCCTGGCAACAGATTTATAACACAGGAACTATAAAACTCTCACCAAGTTACACCCTCCCAATGTCACTGTTCTACTGCACATGTAATGTCACACTAAGTCTTCTCAGGCCGACTTCTAATTATTCCCCAGCTACTCACTTCCCGTGACTATATCCTACCAACAGCTGCCTGAACTCAAGTCAAAGTTAAAGTCACATTGCAACTGACGGTCAGTCAGTCAGTAAGTCTTGGTGTCGAGCCCCATCCGGGACTCATGATGAGATATTTATTACTGTTTGACAATTACGGTCTTGTTTTTGTGGGGCGCCCTCTCTGATGAGAAGACGGGTCTGTCTTTTGTATATGGTGCTGGTCTTCGCCAGCGCAGTCTCTCTCGGGATCAAGTTCCTTGGGACTCATGACCATATTTTACTGTCTCAGATTTGAGACTTAACTTTTCGTCGCCTCCTACGTCTCACAGGGTCATGGTGGAGGTATTCTACCCCACCTCCACATGGGCTACTGCCTGAACTGAACTACTCTGAATCTTATATCATCTTGGCACAGACCACCCACAGAAAACACAGCCTCTGTATTGTATGATGTCACTGCCTACTTAAAATGTGTTTACTGAGCAGTTGCCTAGAAACGGGTTGCATAACTGTTCTATTGTTGCGTGTGTGTATTACTTAGCAGTGGCTGCTTCTGTGGCTCAGCAGTTCTTGCATGGAGCAAACACACCACAATATTGTCCTCCCATCTATGCCTGGGTCTTCCCAGTGTCTCTTCCATTTAGGATTTCACAGGAACGCATCGTGTGCTCTTTTCTCCCGTGTGTGCTATATGCTGTGCCCTACCATTTTTTATTTTAATCATTTTAACAATCATTGTTGAGTTTTAGGCTTTCTGCTTGTTGAAAGTGTACATTCTTGTTACCATTTATCATGTATATCAGCTTGCTCTGCTGATCTTCACTAAGGGTTGGTTTTATTTTCAGGGAGAATCAGATGATTGCATCAATCGGCTTGCGAAGAAGGACGGGCTGCTGGCCAAGTATGTATCTCAGTGCAGAAGCCTTATGTTACCAGTTTTAGGCTTTTGTGGTCGTTTGTTTTTAACGTTGAGGTTGCTGTTGGGGCTCTGCACTGTGTATATGTCAGCAGAGCCGCCACTGTTTCGGAGGGACATGCTGCTTCCATTTTCATGGTAAAAGTGGGTACAGTGTAGGTTTTGGTCCAACAGATGTGGGGAAAGTTGGGGAAAATTGTCTAGTTTGGCCTAGTAGGAACAGTAAAACTCTCACTGGGCCATCTTTTATTATATTTTCCTGTCCAGTTTATGTATTGGCAATGAACAGGGACCATCCCCCCTTCATTTTCCCTTTGTGGGTTGTTTGGACCAAAACTTATATCTACACATACACAAGCACTAATCCATGCTACTTGCTAAGAACCTGAAGGTTGAAGCAGTGTGTACCTCAGAAATGTTGGCAGCACTGCCAGTATGTTGGCTGGAGATTGAATTTAAGTTCAAAATTAACTCCGTGTCATATTGAGAGACTTTACATCTTGTTACAATATCTGCCATGAGGAGGGTCTGTAACAGACAGAATATATCAGTCATGTTCTGCAGGAACATTTACCCAGTTGTTCACAGAATAAGATCTGTAAGCTGAACGCCTGTAAATCGGTGGAATTGAGGTTCCCATGATCGTATGTGGATGTTATTGTATTCGTAAGATTTGAGGTTTTTGCAGCGGTGACTATGAAGAATGCCGTCTTCTGGGATGTTGGGCTGTGTAGATTTTGTGTGAACCAATGTTTTGGAGGAACATATCGTCTCCATCTTCAGGGTCAAAGAAGAAGCGAAGCAAGAAACCAGCGTCAAGCAGGAAGAAATTGCAGGACGGTTTTCAGTAGACCTCATGGTGTCCCGGAGCCATGGCTGCAAGTGCCTCAGTTCCTGTAGACCCAGGAACTGGTTACTGAAATCTGCACCTGCTCATGCTGCTGCTTCACTTGCCGATTTTTCTACCCTGAAGATGGAGCCGATACGTTCCTCTGTAATGTTGGTTTACACAAGATCTACACGGCACCACACATTCTTCATAATACTGATAAGATTTCTGACTTCAGTAGATATTATGAATACAATTCAGTCAGTAACGTACGTATATTAACATGAACGCTACCACAGTATACTGAAACATGCTGTGTAGTAGTGGAAGAGGGTCATAAACCGGGAGCCTCAGGGAGATCTGTACTGAAAGACTATTTGTGTACATTGTATACATCAGGTGATAAAGTAGTGTAGCAGAGTGCTGAAGTATGACATTGTTGTAATATGTTGCTTCTGTCTTTTCAGGAACTTTTAAGTTTCCTTCCTGCGATTCTTCATAATATTTATATAATGAAACATCAATAAATTAAATAGAAAAATGACTGTTGTGGTTCATTGTGTTTTCAATCACTGATCTTTCTCAGCTTGCAGTGACTATGGGACTGTTGTGTTTAGGGTGCTGAAGGAACAGTCTCTTCTGTGGAATCCTGCAGGTGATCCTTCATGGTGATGACCAGGGTCCGGATTTTGATGACATGTCATCTTTTTTTTCCTTGCATCCTTTGCAATGCTCTTAAATATATAAATCTCGGATATAAGCTGCTGGTTACAGAAATGTAAATTTTATAGGTACTTTTTGTCATTTTTTGACATTTTTAGGTTTAAGGTCACTTTTTCATTTTGGGGGTAATTTTTGGACTTTTAACGCTATTTCTTGTCATTTTTTGCCAATTTTAGGGAATTTTTCTTCATATATTTTCTGAAATGTGAATAACATGGAAGGCGAAGGGTTCTTTCTTTTCTCCTTTAGGTCATTTTTCTGGATTTTTTCAGTCACTTTTTGAATATTTTCAGGTCATCAAAATCCGGGCCCTGCATATTACATTTATGGGTCATTTTTCTGGATTTTTTTCGGTCATTTTTTTAAATATTTTCAGGTCATCAAAATCCGGACCCTGGTGATGACGATTTAGATTGTGGTCTTCTGTGTTATATTCTGTGTTGGCCTGTAGGAGGTTACCAGTGTTTTGGAGGAGCGTACATTCTCTCCAACTTCACAGAGTACCCATGATGCGGAAGACCACAATGTAAAACAGTATTGTTATTGGTGCTACAATTTATTATGGGATTTGGCTTCAGCGTTGGACAAAACACCGACTGTCGTCACTTAGGCCTGCGAAAGGTAGGTCGGTAAATGTGCCCCAGCTTCTGCATCGCAGGAGACAGACACTCACCGCGGAGGAACTCACCAGGATCAAGTAACTGATCCCTGTACATTGTTGCTTTCTGAGAAATCTCTGACATTTGCATTGTACGCGTCAGTAAACACTGATGACGCCATTGGAGTTGTGACTTTACAGGAATAGGAAAGTTACTGGCGCAGTCATTTTTGTCTTTGAAGTAGCGAGTTCGTTAGAGTGAAACTGACTTGACTGCCGTGTGTGGCTGTGTCGAGAGGCGACAGTTTGTGAGACAGTACATACAGGTCTGATTGCGGTCACAGATTTTCTCTGCAAGTCGAAACGTCGTTCATTTGGCCGTGATCTTACGTTTTCGCTTCATTTTTACGTAGGAAGGAGCTTAGTTCGAACACGATAAATGCGAGTTGCACTTTGAAACAAAAAGACTTGGACATTTTGTTTCGTTTTCTCCGGACGAGCACTGGATCGGAAGCTGCGATTTTGACTTCCTCATGCTTTCATTTTCTTTGGTTGTACGAAATGGCGTGCGGTTGGATTCTGAATTTCGCCGATTTCCGCACTTCCACACGGACAACTGCAGAGAACAAGCGGTACACTCAGTTCCGCGCTTTCCGCAATCTTTGTACACAGACGTACAGCGCTTCGGGTAAAGAAGTGTGTTACAGAAGAGAAGGTGTAGAAGCCACTAGCGGAGGTAAGGATCCAGTGCTCATTTTGTTATTAGTTGCAATTTGTGCTCGTTGTTTTGGTTTTTTTGTTTGTTTGAGGTCCCCGCTCATATCCTGTGCCTCACCGTGGCGAGCGGGTGAAATAAAGAAGGGCGCATGCCCGAAACTGAAATAACAGTTACAGTGACTGCGAAGCCCTCCATTTTCGTTAATCTGCTGTACCTACTTACGGGTACTACACGCGTGTGGTTATAGTTCCAGCCAGACGCGGGCAACCTGACTGTGTTTCAGACGTTTCGGACCAGAGCCAACCAACCCCCTGTTATTTCCCCCGTGTTCGTCCGTCGGGCGCTCACAGATTTTAATTCAATTTTGTGTTTGTACCCCTCACAGATATCTACGCACGGAACTTACCTGCAGACCACATTTACGCCTATAATTACGGATTTAAAAATGAATGCATTGCATTCACTTGCGCCTGGCGTCGCGACGCTCTCCGCAGCACGGAAATGTAGAATTGTTAGTGAGGGATGAACAAGGGAGCATGCGCACTGATACACTTGTGGCCTGATTGTGGTACTGCCCGTGAAACTGTCGGGAAGTAGGGGGGGGATGACGAAAGGAAACCCGTCAGAATACCCGATCCCTGTGTCTAGGTGTGAACCAGGGACCTCCCTAACCAAGGAGTGGTGTAATGGTAAACTGTACGCTTTTGTTCGGAGGAACTTCCGTTCAATTCTCTGCGGCGACCCCCGCTGTTCTGACTGAGGTTTCTCGTGTTTTTCCCCAGGTGCATCCCGCGTATGTGGGAATAGTACCTCAGCTACTACCATGTCCTTACAGATCCTTTCCAAATCAGTATTCATCAGCCACTGTACATAGCGAGAGTGTATTGTCTAGATCCTGACAGCGTTGCAAAGAGGTGCACTGCGCTTATGCGAGATGTGCCGATACCGTGAGGCTGGCCACTGTTTTCACTGTGTTTCGTGCAGGAATTGTATTGTACTGGTCCCCATGTCTCACACTGGTAAGTGGTGAGAGTCCGGTGTGCATCTGAACTGTTTCGAGACCCCAAAGATATATGTAGAATTGTTTAAAGGAAGCAGAGATTTCCCTGTGTTTAATTAATTAGGCACCGCGCTATGGAGACGCATAAGGAGTGGAAGTATAACTTCCACCATTCTTGTCTTCGGCCATAGACAGAAGTGAGTGGTCAGCTTCACGCCCCGGGCGATTTGTCTCTGGAGAAACAACCGCAGTGCCTGTCGGATAAGAGGTTCTATGGACCCCAGAGCTGGCATGGAAGATGCTTAAATGAGAAAAATCTTGCCCCTGGCCGCGCAGTTCATGGCCCGGCGCTATACCAACTGATATCACGACTGTACACAAACACTTATTTGTGCCATAAATAGAGTCATCGTTAAGAACGAAACAACCCACGCCGAAGTGAGTTTGTATCTGGAGTATTTTATTCAGGTCTGCAAAACGAGGGCATGGACACTGATGCGGAGGACGGACCGACGTGTGAGAGCTAACGGGTGGTTCAGTAATGCACCAAAGAGGATGAGACCTTGGTTTCGGTTTTGCTGTTCGTTGCACCTCATTCTGGAGTATGCACAAGCAGTGTCAGTGTGACGGCATGCCCAAAGTGTATCGCTGCCTGCGGAAGTGCAACCATTTCGCTATGAAGTCATTGCTTTCATGCCTCCGTATGGAGTCGTACGGAATTACCAGTCATGAAAATGCATCGTTCTTTGGCCCAACAGGATCTGACCTGAAATATTTTCCTGAAAATCGAATTCCTATCTCGCGGCCTTCTCCGAGGACGCTCATTCACTTACTCATGGAGCTGAGCCCTTCTTGAGGAGCCGCCAATTCTACAGCTACTCAAGAACGTCCCAACATATTATGGAACCAAAGGTTCATTACCGTGTTCACAAGAAACCGCCACTGGTCCCTATCCTGAGCCAGATCAATCCAATCCATACCATCCTACCCCTCTAAGATCCATTTTAATATTGTCCATCCACCTAAATCTTGGTCTTCCCAGTGGTCTCCTTCCTCCCGGCTTCCCCACCAATATACTATATGCATTTCTCCTCTCCCCCATTCGTGCTATATGCCCTGCCCACCTCATCCTCCTTGACTTGATCATTCTAATTATACTTGGAGAAGAGAAGTTATGAAGCTCCTCATTATGCAGTTTTCCCCAACCTCCCGTCACTTAATCTCTCTTCGGTCCAAATATTCTCCTCAAACACCCTCAGTCTATGTTCCTCCCTTAATGTCAGAGACCAAGTTTCACACCCATACAGAACCACAGGCAAAATTATAGTTTCGTATATTCTAATCCATGATATGTATACAGTGGCCGTCTTGTAGTGCACTCAGTTTCACCTGTTACTTCACGACATGTTTCGGCAACACAGTGCCATCATCCGGTGCCCTAATTACGCTAAGCTATTGCATTGCTTGCCTTTGTATGTCTTTGTAAAATTATTTAAAAAGTGCGTATTTGTCAACTATAATAAATTTACACACACTAAACCTTGTTAAGATTATTCATCTTATGTGTCTTAATTAAAACTTGCGTGTGGTTCTTCCACTATGGGGGTCGTTTTTCTTATATCACAAGACATCACAAGAAACGGTTTACACAGAAAATAAGAAAAACGACCCCCATAGTGGAAGAACCACACGCAAGTTTTAATTAAGACACATAAGATGAATAATCTTAACAAGGTTTAGTGTGTGTAAATTTATTATAGTTGACAAATACGCACTTTTTAAATAATTTTACAAAGACATACAAAGGCAAGCAATGCAATAGCTTAGCGTAATTAGGGCACCTGATGATGGCCCTATGTTGCCGAAACATGTGAAGTAACAGGTGAAACTGAGTGCACTACAAGACGGACACGGCAAACTAATCATAGATGAAAATCAGTGCAACAGGACGCTAAAATACAACATTATGAATTGTATATTCTAATTTTTAAGTTTTTGGACAGCAGACGAGAAGACAAAGGGTTCTGGACTGAATGGTAGCAAGCATTACCCGAGTTCCATCTCCTCTTAATTTCCTCCTTAATCGGGTTTCGATCTGTTATCGTTGTTCCCAAATATCTGAACTGTGCCACATTTTCAAACCATCAGTTTCCTATTTTTATGTCATGATGTTGCGCTGCATTTTGGTGACGAGACAGCAACATATACTTAGTTTTCTCTGTGTTTACTTCTAGTCCAACCTCTTCACTCGCGTCAATTAAAGTTTTTGTGTTTTTCTTTATAGTATCTGCATTATCACCCAGTAGATTCACATCATCGGCATAGTGGTCAGTATCACAGTCTGCTGCCCTGAATGATCGGACATCAAGTATACTTGAATGCCGTCTCCTATCTATCAAAATATGGTCTATTTGATTGTGTATCTTCCCATCAGGAGATGTCCAAGTAAATTTATGGATGTTACGATGCGGGAACATTACACTTTTGAGAGTAAGATTTTTTGATGTGGCAAAGTTTACTACTCTAAACCCATTTTTTTTTCTTGTGGCGCTACAGCCCCAATTTCGGCCTAGGCCTACCTCCATGAAACTCTCAGTTTCATTTCGGTTTACTAGATCTTACACATACGGTAGGACTCCTTGGGCGAGTGATCAGCTCGTCGCAAGACCTCTACCTGTAGACAAACACAGAAAAACGCACACAAAAATTCATGCCCTGAATGGGATTCGAACCCACGATTACGGCTTCCGAGCTAGCGAAGACAGTGCATGCCTTAGAGCGCTCGGCTACAGTGACCGGCACTCCAGCTCCAGTATCATTACTAATTTCATGCAAACTCTCTTTCCCAATTGCTGGTTTGAAAATGTCTTCCCTCCCTACTTTGGCATTGAAATCTCCTAGCAAAATCTTCATAGGGTACTTCAGGAATTTATCAAATACATGTTCTAGTTCTTCATAGAATGTATCCTTTATGTCATCAATTCTATCTTCTGTTGTGGCATGAACATTCATAACAATGATATCACACCAGCGACCTTTTAGTATTATATATGATATCCTATCACTAATGAATTCTACACTTTTAACTGCTGATATGATTCTCTTATGAACGAAAAAACCTGTACCTAATTCACGATTTTCTTTCCCCTGTCCATAGAAAAATGTATAGTCTCCTGCTGGTGCGGTGCCTGGCGTTGAGATTGTCAGGCTTTAAGCCCCAGAAGATTTCTGGTACTCATTTCTGTTAGAGGCTGAGTCGACCACAAGGCCATAGTGCAGCTGGAAGTATGAGGTCAGTTGAAAAATCCAGTGACATCGGGAATCGAAACTGTGACCTACCAGCTTGTAGCATACTGCACTGCCGCATGCACCCATATATGGTGTTGTACAAAGTAAAATGCATGTCTTCAGTGGTCAGTATCAGATTAAATAATGGTAGCCAGCGTTAGGGGCGGGTATCGAACTCAAGACATGAAATAGTGGTGACGCACTCCGGTAAAATGTTTTTTTTTCT